GGAGCCTCTCGGAAGCCAGCCAGCACAGCAGCAGCAGGTTGGCCCTTGCTTCTATGAGATGAAACAGTTTTTGGAATGTGCCCAGAACCAGACTGATATAAAGCTCTGTGAGGGATTCAATGAGGTGCTGAAACAATGCAAACTTGCAAATGGTAGGTGATTTTTAAAACTTAAATCTGTTTGATTCATGATGGCATTCTTAGACCCTGTAGAATTTAGGGAGTCTAGAAATAATTTTAACTGTCTAACAAGGAGCTAATCTGGAGGTTAGCCACAATCTTAGCTTTTACTGATAGTGTTTGTAATCTGATTTTCCCTTAAGCAAGTATAAAGTCAGTATGTCAGATCTTCTGTGGTTACTGCTAATGAGTGATCTCTTAGTTTTAAAGCTATGAATATAAAATTATATCCCATTTTTGTCAAAGTCCAGGAATGGACATAAAGACTGATATATTTTTGGCATTTTTTATACCTAATTGAAGAATAGTTCATTCAGTCCCTTAATGGAACTCTTGAGATTTAGGGTCTCTGGAGTTTTGGCAACCTAAGAATTTGTCTGTTAAAATGCTTGTTTTTAATTTTCCAGCTTCATTTAGGTAGGGAATGGGGAATAAGTTAGTCCTCACAAGTCTTTGCTGAAGCTGCTTATAGTACCAAAGAGGCTGAATTACTTTAGGATTCAGTCCTTAGAAGCCCTGTCTTTCTCAGTTGTGGCAAGTGGTACATAACTCCCCAGGGAGCTAGCATCCTCTAAACTCCTGGGGAGTTTTGTTGGTCACAGGGATGCCTTTGCAAAAGAAACCAGTGACCCTGGGCTGATGACCCTCCATTCATTATTTGGAGGACTTCTGTTCTGTTGAGTATATGTATGCAGCTAGTACTCTTCTAACTTAACTTTTTCTGTTTCCAGGATTATCCTAATCAAGAGGTACAAATTGAAGAAAAGGAAAATCGCCTTTCAAGACCAAGTTAATTTAGCATAAAAATGTAATTGATAATGAAAGTATAAAGGGTAGAACTATCAGTTAAACCTCTGTTATTAAAAGCTTCCTTTCTTCAGAATTGTAGTGGAAGAGTGTGTTCTTAGTGTATAGAAGTTCACTGAGATGGTAAAGGATTGGAGGCAAATGTTGGTGTGGCTTCCTTAAACCAGCTGTTGTGATATTATTTGTGAAGTAATTAGAATAAAGTGATTTTCTTCCAGGATGTGTCTGGTTTACTTTCATAGCTCACTGCAACCTCAAACTCCTGGGCTTGAGTGATCCTCTCCTTTGGCCTCCCAAAGATCTGTCATTTAAGTGTGATAAGATAAATTGCACATGTTATACTCGTGTGCTGACCATATGCATTTTGCAAAAGAACATGACTATCAACATGTGCTTAGGGGTTTGAGGTTTGGGGGGTTTTCTTTGTTTTTTTTTTTTTGTTTTTTTTTTTTTTGAGGCAAGTATCGCTGTCACCCAGGTAGGAGTGTAGTGGCATCATCATCATAGCTCACAGCAACTTCAAATTCTTAGCCTCAAGTGATCCTCCTGCCTCAGCCTCCCAAGTAGCTGGGACTACAGACACCTGCCACTCCTGGCTAAATTTTTAACTTTTAGTAAAGCTGGGTCTTAATCTTGGTCAGGCTGGCCTTAAGCAGTCCTCCTGCGTGGGATTCCCAAAGTGCTAGGATTATAGGCATGAATCACCAGGCCCAATCTCTACATGTCTTTTAAAATGGTATATTGTCTCCAAGGGATAAAATAAGTACTCCTTCTGAGGATGCTAGCTCCCTGGGGAGTTATGTAAGGAGTAGCTCATGAGTAAACATGCTTCTCAATAAAATGGTTCTAGATGCTGCAGGCCTGGGTTCAATAAACTGAGCTGTAGCAGAAAACTTTAAAATACTATTTGGGTATTTTTGAGATGGTCACTCTGTTGCCCTGGGTAGAGTACCATGGTGTCACAGTTCACAGAAACCTCAAACTCTTGGGCTCCAGTGATCCTCTTGCCTCAGCCTCCCAAGTACCTGGGTCTACAGGCACCCATGGCAAAGCCCAGCTATTTTTCTAGATGGCGGTCTTACTCCTGCACAGGCTGGTCTCGAACTCCTGAGCTCAAGCAGTCCACCCACCTGGGCCTCCCAGAGTGGTGGGATTACAGGTGTGAGCTATCCTCACCAGCTGGAGATGGACTTTTTTAAAGTGAACACATCCTTCATGGAAAGCTCAAAATTTCTTTCTATTAAGA